AATGCTGGGGAGAGAGACCAACTTTCTTCATTCCACCAACCAAAAGAAAAGAAGGAGGAGGAATGGATGCTATTGCACACTTTAAATTAAGCAGGAGATTCAGAGATAAACATGATCTTTAGCCCATTAGCACAGAAGGCAGAGCAAACTGTTCTTCAGCTTGTTCCACACCACCTGATTCATTGATCCTTCTGCTATTTCAGTGCTAGAGCAGAAATATAGAAAATATTTGCAAGAGAAACCACATCAATCTTGTTTGGTTTGCATTTCAAGATAAATCAGACTCGTCACGTGCAGTACAGTTCCCTGAACCTGTTGATAAAGCTTTGGGATGTTTCAAGCACAGGCTAGAAGATGTCCCTGGAGAAGTTAGCAGAGGGCAGGAAAAACTCAGAGACACTTCAAAAGTCAGGGTAAAATGCAGGCTTCCTTCAACCATGAGAGCAGGGCAAGTGCAAGGCAGAAAGTTTCTCCCTTATTTCTCGCTTCTTGAGTTGTTCACCTATTGACTTTTCTTGCAAGCCATAGCTCAAAGTCTCACTGCAGGATGGTGCATGTCTGAGGACCACAGGGTTTGGAAAATAAAGCCAGAGTAGCCTGGAGATTGTTTAGGTCCCCCATAATACAAACACAAAGTCCATTTGCACAATTTTGACACCCCCCCCCCAAAAAAAATATGACACTCTGCAGCTCCTGTCATATCTGTTTACTTGTCTGGGAGTTTTTCCCACATGGTTTTCCTCTCTTTTTTCTCTTACTGCCTCCCTGTAAGAGCTTCCTCCAGGAGCCTCCCCATCAGGCATTATTTTCTCCCCAAGTTATTTGTGTTATCGTCTCTCTGAAAACTCTGCAGAAGACCCTTTTCACCCAAGTCACCCCATCCTGTGGCAATTCCTGCTTGTGCTGGGAGTCTCCACCATATCTGCCACTCCAGGTGAGGTACAACATCTCTCAAGGGTTCCATTAATGCCTTTTTGCACTGTGATGTGTGTTTTGCTTTCTTGCTCAATTTTCTGTCACTGTCTGCCTAGGCTTCAAGCAGTGTTTGAGGACCCTGGCACCCAAGAGTAATCAGATGAGCCAGGACATCGTCCACCCCTTAAATCACTGCATTGTAACATGGTTGCAGCTAACTCCTTCATAGCTGGCCACATCTGGTTTGCTGAGTGTGGGGTGTCCCATGGGAACTGGATATGCATTTTTACCCTGCCATGTGGACCTGAGGAAGGTTATGGTCGGTACCAAAGGGGACTGACACAAATCTAGTCTGGGGAAACACCAAGAGCGACATCTTCTTTGATTTAAAATCAGCATTCCTGAGAACTGCGGCACCATGAGATGAGGGCTGAGATGGGACAGGAATCACAGCTGACCTGGTGACCAGAACAATGTCACTTTTCAGCTCACTACCTGTATCAGCACCCGTGTGTGAAGCATCATCCCAGCAACAAACTTCCCTCAACAACAGCAGCAGAAACAGAAAAAGAGTGGCTAGAGCAAAGCTCTTGAACCACTGTTCCTTATGCTTTTTTTAAAAAAAGAAGAGGCTATAATCAGACCCAGAGGAAATGGAGCATAAATATCAAATTTTGTTTAGGCTGGGAAAATATAATCTATAATTAAAGACGGACATCTTGTTGATAAGATACAACTTATTTTAACTGTGAGGTGAGCACATGATCAACTTCTAATCTTTTGCAAGTTACTAAAACCAGCCAGTTCTCTTCCTGGCTGTTTTGTTTGGGGTTTTTAGGATATTTTTTAGTGTAATTTCTAAAAAAGCAGCTGGGCTTACGTCAGCTTAAGATAATGATGCTTATACTGGCAGTGATATCTTGGAGCATCTCAATAGCCAGGAATTTTTCTTTCTGTTCATACACTACTGCTTGTCTCCATGCCAGCCCCTCCAACCAAGCCTGTTACCCTCTCCCATGGAAGAGTGGGAATCCCGTGACAGTAGGAAGGGGAGGGCCCAGGGTTGATTTTGTGTGACCAGAACTGACCTGTGGCTTTTTATTTTCATGTGGGCTTTGCTGGTTGCCACATCCTGCTGCCTGAGTATGGAGGCGTGTAGGATCTGTGCATGGCAGATACCAGCAGACATTATCACAGGACTGGTGCTTGTAATGAGTTTTTGGTGGCAAGTTTTCAGGGTGTGGTGTCCCTCCTCACATCCTCAGGTTCTTCCATGGGGTATGCTTTGGTGCATCGATGCTTGTCAGATAAGCCAGCTCCCCAGAGTCAGTCCCACTGAGGGTTAGCTCTCCCAAGGGCACCCTTTCCCACAAAACCAGCTTGTTCCCTCCAAACTGGGTGTAGTTCTGTGGTTTCCTCCAGGACCTGCATCAGGTTTGATTGCTTCTGCTCCACACAGTCCTCCCACACTATTCCACAGCAGATTTGGACACTGTCAATATTCAATATTCACAATATTCAAGGTTTTCTCAAAGAAAGCTAGCAGTGAAACAACAAATTCAGGGCTGTAGGGGAACTATCTAGAGTCAGATACCTGAGTGCTACACACCAGGAAATTGACAACTTGCTCTAGAGAAGGGATAGGTCTGTATGGATCCAGCCAGGGATCACTCCCTGGGAGAGATACCTGTACTGGGAGAGATGTAACTGGAGAAGCAACAGCACTCAGGTGTCACTGGGCACCAACCACTGGGTGACCCAAGTTTCTGCAGCCCACACACCAGAGATAGACATCTAACAAGAGAAGCTTCTGCGTGAATAATTTCTTCTGCTTCCATATAAGCCTGAAACTCATCGTCAGGAGGCTTCCTATCCTTTCTGTGACAGGCCATTTTCCTTCAGCAAGCCATGCACCACCTGGATAATACAACTGGCTCCACATCTCTGAGCAGCACGAATGCAGCTGTTCTCCAGGCTTGGCTGCTGCCATGTCGAGTTGGCCAACAGGCTGCCCTGGTGTGATTACAGGAGGGAAGACAATATCTCCTTGGTGACCTCCCTCTGTCAGCCCCAGACAAATGAAAGAACATGGAGCATGAGGGGAGGTGCAGCTTGGGTGGGAGATGGACATCAACACATCAGTGTGGAGTTGATGCCAAACCAAATAGCACCACCATAGTCATGAGGCACAGTGCCACAAGATAGAGCCAGAGTGGACTCCTACTTTAGGCAGAGCACAGGGTCGTTGGGGCTTTCAGACCACATGCTCACTCCTTGATACTGTGCTGTATTTTTTGGACTACCTATGTCCCATATGGGTGCTATTCTGAGATCCTCAATAAGGTTTTGGAACTGCTGTACACAAACAAACTCCTCCTGATCTGCTTCCGTTGCCAAGACAAGTCAATGAGAAATAGTTTGCCTACTAATTGTTAAACCATTTGACCTTTAAAAAATATGCATGTACAGCTATACATGTTCATTATCATACATGATATCAGTAAGAGCATTTATTACTATTGTTTACTTCTTTGCCATAATGTACAGTTTGCTTTAAAATTTATTATCCTTGTTACATTCTTATTGCAGTAACAGGTGCAAAATGTACTCATTGCAACATTTAACAAACCACATCTTTCACATCTGTCGACATTTTCATCTTGAATCCTGCAGTAAGGTGCAGATCTGAAGTAACCTTGTCAGGAGCTGGTATGCTAAAGAGAATGAGCAGTAACCTGTCACAGAGGAGCAAACCCTGGAGCCAGCATATGTTTAGCAGAATCCACAAAGCTGTTTGGCACATGGTGCTCAAGGACATGGGTTTTATCTGATTTTAACAAACAAATCCAGGGAAGTTGGACAGAATTGATGCTGTCCAGTAGAAGGAATCAGTAACTCCCTTTTTTTTTGGCCCATCAAAAATCCTCATTCATAATGGCAGATGTCACTGCAAAGAGGGGAAAACACACAATTCTGAAGGCAAAACTCTCCTCCAGGCAGGAGGTCACCCAATTGAGATACTCTTTATGCACCCAGGGAAGAAGATCTGCAGTGGTCCCTGGGATGCTTGCTTTGGTCTCTGACGCTTGCAGGAGCTCCCTGGTAGAGCGGCCCAGGCAGGGCTGCGCCTTGGCTGGTGAACCCAACACCCAGTTTGATCCTGAGACACCCACTGAGGAGCTGGCCAAACTCTCTCAGAGGTTTGCACTGCTGCAAACTATCATGTAGGGGTCAATGCACCCCTGCCCTGGTACCAGGGCACGTCTAAGCAGAAAAAGACAACAATGCAATGCACAGGTACCCCACCAGTTTGCACAAGTGCACTGCTTCTGTAATAAAAGAGATCTTCACATGCAAGGGAAAGAAGGAAAAATCCATCCCACTGCCCTTTCTGGAAGGCATTTACATTATTTCCCATTCAAGCATTAAATTGAATTTATCCTTTCCCCCAAGGGTGTGTTTGGTCATCCCACTGCTGTGCCACAGAGGCACAACTGAGCTGTTGGGAAACCAAACATATGTGTTGTCCCTACTGCAAAGCTTCCCTCCCATATAACCTTTTCCTATGCATCCCACTCTGTGTGGACTTGGAGTTTTGGGTTTGCAACTAGCTCAGTGCCCCTGATGCACTCCATCCCCTGGGAATCTGCAAGCTGACAGCTGTGGGACAGGCGAGGATGACTTCAGAGACAAGCACGTGTCTGCAGAGCCTGCAGAGGGGATCTTTTTGTGGAATTTACAGACTGTTTCATGTGTCAATATGAGAGGAGCATAATTACCAGCTGAGAAACTGCAGGAAATTAGCCAAGACTGAATGGACGAAATGGAAAATAAAGAGAAGCGCAGAGGACACACACATTTTAAAACAATTACGGAGGTATGTATTCACATGCTTGTGGGAGCCTGGGAATACATAAGAGATCGTGACTGCAAAGGAATGAATTCACGGACCAGTCTATGGGGAGCATTTTTTTTCCCTGTGACTTCAAACTTCTCTCGGAGCTCACAGAGTTTTAGTCAGCTGGCATGCAATAGAGGTACGACTTCCCTAAGGAAACTCTTCCTCGACTTGCCGTGGAAAAGCTGCTGGGAGAATCTGTGAGACAGAAGGCTGCAAGCAGAGGTGATTCCTGCTCCTCCTTCTCCTCCAGCCACAGAGCAGGTATGTGGAGATGCATGCGAACCTGGGAGCATGCTGGAAAGTTGAGCTTTTGACTGCAGGAGAGATGGGGGCTCTGCCGACTTAGAGCTGCAGCCTTTAAAAGTAACACGGACGAGGAAGGTAGTGTATAAATAAAATATCCCGTGTTTATGGATAGGCTGAGGAACTGGCTAAACACACTGTGTAGATGGCTCTATCCACACAGCTGTATATTTAACCCATCAGGGACTTGCACTGCAGCGAGTCAGATCCCTTGTGTTAAGGAGGCACCGATTAGTTCACAACAATGCAGTTGTCATACTCCAGGTTTGTTGTTATTCTCTGTGTTTGCAGTAGTGAAAGACGGGGACGTGTCTGGGTATTTTTTTCTTTCTTTACAGGACTTCAGCCTGTTTGTGGAATTGCTGCATTATAGTGCTCTGAACCAAGAGTGCTGCAGAGATCAGCCTTGTACACTGATTAAATGCCACTTGCCCAGCTCCCCGAATCTTAACACAGCCTTGGGCAAATCACACAGCCCCCGGGTAAAACGGGAAAAAAGGCTGTTTGGCTCCTCTGCTCTTCTTACTACCAGCACTGTCATTGAGCTCTCCCTGTTGGAGCACGAGGTGTGAGATGGCAGCATTATTGTGCTACTCTTAAGATCCTGACAGCTTGAATGTCACCTTGGGTGAACAATGACTTACTGAGAGGGTTTTGCTGCATCTGGATTGTTACCACGGGAATTAACACTTAGACAGTGTTTGGAACTGATAAAGTTTTAGAAAATCCTTACTTATTTAAAAGTCACAGATAAATTTATAAAGCCAAACCTGGTTGTATTTTGAAAGAAGTATTTTTGATTAAAGTGCAGATATGTTTCCTTAAATAGAATAAAAATATAGGTTTTCCACAGCAGCAGAAACATGTTTGTGGGGTTTTTTTTACTAAGATGTAATAATTTCAACTTTAAAATCAACTTATTACTCTAAAATGCTAAAATCCTTTAATTTTCAGTGATAGACATTTACAATAAGTAACCTCTTCATAAAGCAGATATTTCCATTTCAGTGATTGTATCAGTGCTTTACTTTTTACTAACATAATGATGGGTGGATTCAAGGGCGGGTGTCAGTATCATGCAATCAGATCTATCAGAAATAACTATCTTCACCTCATTTTTCCTCCTGTTGGATCACACAAATTGAATAGATCTTTTCCCAGGCACTGATTCCACTGTCAACTAAAACAAACTGCTGAATTAAAAGCCCATTTTTCTCTCTTTTGCTGCACTAAAATAATACGGGAAATTATTATGTTTTAGTTCCTGAATTTGAGTTTTCCCAGGAACTGTGCTTTCCAGGGAGATAGTTTGTTTTCATGGTCAGATAGTTTAATCTGCAAATCATTTTCTGCTGATATAAGTGTTTTCATTTTCCCTTCTCCTACTGTCCCTTCACTCATCCCCTTGCTCAGCAAGTCTCCAGCCTGGTGAATTTCATGCAATTGTCATTTTTCTTTCCTGTAGAGAGGAGTAGGTTAAAAAAAAAAAAAGGTGAATAACATAGGGAATCTGGCTAAACCCCATGTATCCAATTAATTGAAAATGTTCATTTCTGGTGGGGAAATTCTGTTGTCTAAACACCTGACTACAGGTGCAAGTAGAGAGAAGACAGAGTGAGAAACAAGGAAGGCAACAGCGTCAAAAGACAGGAGAAAAGCCATGTTGGGGTTAGAGGATATGTAGGAATCCTTATTTTGGTATGTAGTCTTGACTTGGCTGTGATTTTAATGAAGCAAAGTCCTGAGCAGCAGAATCAGTGCATGCCCTTCCCTCCTGGTTTGGCATTTGTTTCTGTCCAGGCTCTTCTTCACAGTTCACCTGGCACAACTGCTTGGTCCCTTGCTAAAACAGCCTGAGGAACTGAGCTGGGTTTTTAAAAAGCACAACCAACAAAATCTCTGCTATTTTTAGCCTTGCAAATCCAAACTTCACAAAGTGCTCTCAACTTCCATGTGAAGGAAATGTGAAGCTACAGTCAGTCATCTAGGTCACTTGTTGCTCTTCATTACAGGCATGATATTAGTAGTCCACCTCTAAATTAAATCAAAATACCCCATCTTTAAATTTATATATTTTTCCTCATGGAGGCCTCAAATGTTTGAGGTTTGTCTTGCAAAAGTGTCTGTGCTATGCAAGTGCTATTACATGCTGCTGACAGGACAAACTCCAAACACAGAGCATCTGAAAGGAATTTAAACCTCTGGACACCACAGAAGTCCCCAGCTTCACTCAAGTTCCCTGCTCACCCCAAGGGGTTTGCAGATAGAGAGCTTGAGTCCAGGAAGAATGCCAAAATCAGCACTGCAGCCAGCTCCAGACAAGGGGAGCTCAAGACACAACCTGCTTGAGGGAAGATGGTCAAAATGAGTATGACAAGTATGCCCAGTCAAGGGGAACTTGTCCGGGGTTGTGATAATCTCACTGATGGACTGCTCTCTTGAGAGTTTAACATGGATTTTTCTATCCATAGCACCTAATCATGCCCTCCCCCGTTGTCTTGGCATAGCATTTTCATGGCTAGACCAGCAATCTGGTCTGCAGGAAGGTGTCCCTAACCACGGCAGAGAGGCTGGAGCCAGAGGATCTTTAAGGTCCCTTCCAACCCAAACCGTTCTGTGACTCCATTATTCTGTGATTTATGCCTCTCATTTCAGGGTGCATTGTGAAGCAAATGAAGTGTTAAGAGCCCAGCTCTTTGGCATATTATTTCAACCACGGGAAATTTGCATTGCTGTAGTTCAGGCATGTGACTCTGGGAGAAAGCAATGGGAAAACCTGTGTAAAGGTGGATTTTCCAGCAGCAGTACTTAGCAGGAGACAGGGAGAAAACCAGCAATTAGACAGCTGGTTCTGCCCTAGAGGGCAGCACAAAGTAATAGATACAAACTTGAACTCACAAGCCGTCTGAAATCATCTTCTGCATTACAGAAGAATGTCTATCAGGGTGGTGCCCTGTTGTGGCTAATATCCTCATCTTAATTTGTTGTATCTAAACTTAAACCCGTTGCTAAAAGACACAGAATGATTCACACAGACACGTCTCAATGGTATGATAGTAAAGAAAAAAACACTTTATTTTTCTGACTCCAGTATTTATAGATTCTTGACAATGACCAGGGATTGGATAATTAAGTTACCATCTTCCCAATCACACTGGTCATGAGAAACGTCCATCAAAAGATGTTTCTTAGAAGGAATGCATAAACATCTATGTTTACAGTTACTTTCCTGGGAAAGATGAAAGACGAGATCAGAAGGCTTAATTTTCAGGGTGACATAAACCATTTCCATTTGAGAGCTCTTTCTCTATGATGCCAGATACACTACCCAGCATGAGCATCTGGACTGCATTGGCTGGCCTGGACATCATCTAGGCAGCATCTGAACCACACAAACCCATTAAATGCCTTGCATCCTCCTTTTCCCACCAGGCTCAAAGGAACACAAAGCTACACAGGTAGGTCAGAAGTGTAGTAGGCTCAGAGATGAGTTCATTTATTGCACTGCTTGCGTCCATCTCTATATTAGATGATGATCTGGTGCTGGCTTTCACATGTGTTGACCTCTGTGTCCCATTTGAAATCTAACTATAATTGCTTTTACCTTCAGAACCATGAAACCGAACATCATCTTCTTGCTGGCAGTGGTGAACACAGGAGCCTTTAACTATCATCCCATAGAGGGGACATCCTGTGAAATGGTAAGGAGGGATTCCTGCTCAGGCCCTTTGGGATCTGCAGTGAGGCTGGGACAGCCTTGTACAGGCACTGTGCAAACAGCCATAGTCTCTGAGAAGGGAAATCCCCCAGGACCAGCCTTCCTGTGGTGGCAGAGGTGGGATTTGCAGGGTTAGGGGATGGGTAGTGGACACTTCTCAGATTATGTCCTTTTTGTAGTGATAGCACATAAGAGGGGTGGAGGAGGGATGAGGGGGGAAGAAGGGTCATTATCTCAGGGTTCTTTTTCTAAAGGGGAGCTGGTTAAAAAAATTTGACCTGATTTCCTTAAGACCATAGAGGGGTTCTGGGACTGAGACAGAGAAAAGGCTTAGACCTAAAACCAACTCCTTTCTATCAGGCCTAAGTTCTTTGTGCTTTAAATAGAGAATCTTCTGTGAAATGTATCTACACCAGCCCTTTTGTAATAGCAGGGAGACTGACCTCCTCTGCCCTGACACAGCCTTGCTGCCAGGGAAGTTGCACCTGACTTCTGCTGGAGGAAAAAGAAGTGGCAAAGCCTCTTGCTGTAGTACAAAATTTTCTCTTTGGATTTTTGCAAGCACCAAGTACACTATTATGAATGTTATTCAGACCTGAGTTTTCTCCCTTCCCTATCTAAGTGTTTCTGACTGTAACAGGCTTTTAAAAATACCATTTTTTTCCCTGAATATTGAAGCTGCTTAGCACAAATCTTCAAGAATTTCCAAAATAGGAAAAAAAAAACCCCTATTTACTGGCTGTACACAACTCCCTTATGGGACTCGCTGCATTCCTTCCCACCTGCTGTGTTGCTGCACTTCCTGAATTCTAAAGAAACTAAAACCCAGTTTATACAGAACGATCTTGGGAAAGTGACTGAATAGCTCAGTTCATTGGCTGGAGATGGAAGACTAATGAAGCTTGGGCCCCATGTATCACAGTCAAGTGAAGACTGGGAAAGACACACAGTAATCCAAGCAGATTTGTCCCATCACAGTTTTTGGATGGGTCGCAGACCCAGCTGACTGCTGAGAAATAAACATGTGCTTGTTTCAACCACTCCACCGTAAACTGGTTCCATCAAGCCAACAACCCAAGGCTCTAAGCAGTTAACTGAGATAAATTTAGCTCTGACAGAAAGCTGCAGTCAAAGGCTGCGACACTCATCTCAAATAAATGAACAGCTCAGCACTGCAGATGTCGATGCCGATCATCTTCCTTCACTGGATGTTTACTCCAACGAAGAGTGCATGTAAATCCAAACACTGCTTAAAGAAAGAAGGAGCTACTGGATTAGCTGCTGGGTTCATTGAAGTCCTGCACTGCTATTTTTCATCACAGCCTCAGTGTTTCTCATGGCACTTTCCCCGTGCTGACACCTTTAAACAGCAACGGCTCAAAATTTAATACTTCCATCTCAAGTCTCCTGGAAGAGGCATGAATCAGAAACTTGTGCCCATCTCTGATTCACCACTAGTGCTCCTGTCATTGAACAAGAATCCTAGGAGAGGTTTTAGGAAGTAAGCAATCCCTACCAGACCCTTGACACTGGAGTGAGCTGCACTGATTATACAAGTTATGGCATATCTACTTGTTTGCAAGACAATGCACAGCTTAAATGTCAGGAGGTTCTTCCTAAGTCATGTTGCCTTCCAAGGACAGGCAAGGCTTCAAGTAGATCATGTTCTACCTCCTAAAGAAAGATGTTTCTGCTAATTCATGTTTGCTGGCAAAGGATAAGCTCTGAAATAATTTACAGAAGGGAATCGATTTTAGGAAATTCTGTCTTATCTTGGGTTGAAGTGGTACAAGAACATGTGCACGACCAGTTATCACAGGTCAGCTGATGTGGGGTACCTGGGCAAACTGCTGAGGTTTGATTCTGTATCTGAAACTCCACCTGGGCAGCTGTTCTAGGAATGGCCATGGACACCACACAAGTGCAGTCCAATTTCTTTGGTTCAAATGTGAAAAAGAAAATGTGAGTGGAGGCCTGGATCCAGCTGCTTTTCTTGTAGGGCTCTTAAGAACATGGATGACAACTTCCTCCCAGTGCTGAGCAGTGAAGAACTGAAACAAGAATCCAAATGTTGCTCAGCTTTTGAGCTGTTGGGTCGTTTTTTTGCCAGCACACAAATGGGACCAGATAATGAAGGGACCAAATTCCCCTCACCCTGCAGTACTTCTTGACAATGGACTTGAAATAAACTGATGGCAGCACTAGCAGAAAAGATGAAGTCAGAACATGAGACTGGCAAAACTCTCTTTTCCATTCTCAGGTTGCCCATGCATTGGGCTAAGAGGTGGGAGAAGGGGAGATACACCAAAGAGATGATCTATCCCAATGAGATGTGCTTTATCTTTTCTTCCCATTCCTGATGAGGATGAAATTCATGCAGTTTGGGCCTCAGGGGAGTAAAGAAGGTGCAGAAAAAAATATGGTGACTACCAAAATAGTCAGCGAAAAAGAATGATGGTTTTAAAAAAAAATATGGGAGGGGAACTATTATAGGAGAAAATGGCAGACAGTGGGAAGTATAGATTTTATCTGTCCCTTTTACCCCCAGGACAGTTCCATGAATGCAGATTAAAAGCCAAATCCTGCAATATACATGGTGAGCTGGGACTGACCTCTCTCCCATTGACTTCAGTGAAAACAGGCTGGCTGGCATTGACAGGAGTTGGATAGAACTTTCTCACAGAAGGAGTGAAGGGGGCTCTACACTTGTTGAGATTTGGCTCAGAGTGTCTGAAGAAACCTGGCATCTGCCTTAGGCTGCAAAGTACCTGCTGCTTTTTCACTCCGGATTTTTTCATCCTTATGGATTCTGCCTCTTCCACAAACCAAATAAAAAAGGCTTCCTTTTAATGCCTTGGAGCTAAGCCCAATTCTAGGCATATTGTAGCTCAAAATGAGGAATCCTACGATGGCTTGGCAGGAAAGAAATAATGTCAGGGAGAGGCCAGAAAATTTCCTTCTTTCTCCGTAATATTTTTAGCTGGGGGAGATTTAAGTGAATTGGAGGTGGGGAAAAAGGGTTTCAGGTTTTTGCAGTCAGTTTACTTGGGATCTTTGGGAAAGATATATTACAGGAAGGACTGTGGAGCAGTCTGACTATATCTGGAGTTTGGATGAGCACTGGTAGTTCTCTGACACATTTTTGTGTGGTCTCCAAAATTTAGATTATGCAAAAGAGTTTCACAAAAGACTGACTAGTGCCACACTTCTTCAAGGCAGATGTGCCACTACATTCACCTCAAAGTTCACATGAAACAGATGGGTTTTAGTATTTTTTACTTTTAATGTTTCTTTACTATCTGAAAAACTTTGTGTCATGAAATCTGGATCCTACAAAAATTTCTCTACAAAAATTAAGATTAAACAGATTTTTTTCTTTTTATTTTTTTCCTTTCTGATCTTTCTACAAATACTATATGGTCCAGACAACTAAATACATTCATGACAAAGAGTTTTCCTCCAGTAAATTAAATGCCACCCAAGTCTTTCACATTCCATTTCCTCACACTGCTGTATGTTCTCCTTATTAACAAAATATAGTTTGATCTTTACGTAAGGATGATCATGTTCATGTTCCAAATCTTCCTTATAAGCACACACTCCAAATTTGTCCTGGACACAGACTCAATCCTAACTGCAATTAAACAGACTTGCTTCTGGAAGATGGATTTAATTTTGACTTTTTTTTTTTTTTTTTTTCTCTATCTGCTGCTGAGAATTGGCCTGAAAAAGTGTGACCCTCACTGCACCTCACAGTTTTTTTCTCTCTCAAGTGCTGGCTTTACAGAATTTTTCTTTTCCATGTTGTGTCATGTGTGTTTTGTCAGAGCAGTTTCACAAGGCGCACCCCCATGCAAGAAGAAGGGAATTGTTACCTTAGCAAAAGGATAAACATGGATAGTAAAAGCAGGAAGAGTTTGGGGATTTACATCAGAAATATTTCAGTCACTGAATGACCCATTTTGGATAAAGGTGCATTACTAAACTAAGCCATGGCTAAAGGAAAGCACAATCTAATATCTGAGGGTGTGATTATGGAGGAGAGACAGGTTTTGTGATGTAGAATCCTTATATGTTCTTCCACCTCCTTGCTTTTGAACCCATACTGTCAACAGAGTGAAGCTTTTTCAAGTACTGCTTACTCTTGCAAGTTGAGTTAAAAAAATCTAACACAGATGTAAAAGTGAGAAAATTAAACATCAGAAGGAAAGTGAAGAAATGGTGCTTGATTGCAATGGAAAAGGGGCAAAACTCCTTTACCTGGGACTGTTAAAAAGAGTCCAGGAGAAAGGTACAAACGGAGAGGATTCCATAGGTATCATACACAGATAAAACTCTACTGTTGTAAGTCAGAGATGCCTTTAAAACGAAAAGAGTGCTGTTATCTGCAGAGAAGTGTTAGGATTGTTGCTCTTGCTGTCTGACTGCTCAGATAAAGTGGTGGGATCAGTGTTTCAGGAGGAGGTTCTGCCCGGATCTTGAATGTTATTTTCATTATATATGTCATGCAAAAATGTTTAATTTGTCAAGTGACAGCCCCTTTTCTCTCTTTTTCTGGCAGGCAAACTCACAGGCATTTTGCCACAACAAAGACCTCCACCGAATCCCTCACGAGCTCCATCTGAATGTAAACAAAATAGATCTGTCTGGAAATCTGATTCAAAGCATCCCTGAAATGCCATTATCATTTTACACTTCGCTCCAGTACTTGGATTTAAGCTTCAACCAGATAAGCTTCATTACGTCTGGAGTGTTTGCACACATGACGAGTTTGCTGGAAATAAATTTGGCCAATAATCATTTACATGAGCTTGCTCAGAATGGGACAGAGGGGATTGGACTTTTGCCCAAGGTGGAAACAATGGACTTGTCCCACAACAATCTGTACAATGGGATGGCTGAGTATTTCATTAATCAAGCTCCAGCACTGCAGTATCTTTCCTTGGCAGACAACAGTATTGTAGTGATATCACACAAGATGTTTCAGGGATCCCCCAGTCTTGTGGAGATAGATCTTCAGAGAAATATCATCATGGAAATAGAAGAAGGTGCTTTTGAGACTCTAGCAAACCTTTCCAAACTCAATCTCTCCACAAATTCAATTACTTGCATCTCTGATTTCAACCTCAGGCAGTTGGAGATACTTGACCTTAGCAGGAATAGCATTGAGACCTTCAGCATCACAAAGTCAAATGATGAATATAGTTTAAGATATCTGGATCTTAGTGAAAATAAATTGCTTCACTTCCCAGTCTTCCCTCAGGTAAATAAGCTGGTAACTCTGAATTTATCAAATAATTTAATCCAGCTCACTGCTGAATCCCCATATAATAAAATGGACTACATGGATGATGAATGGCTAGATGCTTCTTTTCATCTTCTTGATCAGAAGCAAAGTAAAAATACAAGTTCTCTTTATTTATCCCAACTTGTGTATTTAGACTTAAGTTATAATGAAATCAAATCCATTCCAGATGGGTTCTTTGAGTCAATGTTGTCCCTTCACACCCTTAATCTCAGCAAAAACTGTCTTCAGGCATTTGCAGTAAGTTATGACAGCGCACTGATCTCCCTAACTGTCCTTGACTTGAGCTACAATGCTTTGCAGAACCTTCTCCTCGATGCTGATGCCTTGTCAAATTTGAGGGAGTTTCATATTCAAAACAACAACCTTCAGACCCTGCAATTCAACATCTTTTCCAGTCTTCCTAGCCTCAGACTTCTTAACCTACAGAGCAATAATATCAGCCTTTGCAGCATGTACTCAGGATTAGCTAAGCAAAGACTTGCTGGAGAGAAAAGTGGCTGTGTGTCATTTGTTAATTCCCCTGCTCTCCAGTACTTGTACCTAGCAGACAACATGCTGAACATCTTACCAGCACACACCTTCTACAAGACCCCACTGCTTGTCTTGGATCTCTCCATGAACCCTGGACTGAAAATAGAACTTAAAGCACTAGCAGGACTGGAAAAGTCTCTGGAATACTTGCATTTACATGGCAATAGCCTGATAGATTTAAATATTGACTTGCCTTGTTTTAGTCACCTTAAGCATTTAAACCTCTCTGAAAATCAGCTGAACTGGTTGCCTAAGTGGAGTAGTGACTCTCCACTGGAAGTTCTAGACCTACGGAACAATAGGTTCAGTACGTTACAGGACAGCAATATTTTAGCACTAGAAAATTCACTTAAAAACTTGTATCTCACTGGGAACCCACTCAACTGCTGTGGAAATATTTGGCTTTCATCAATGATCCAGAACAAAAACGTCCAGATCCCCAACGTGGAGCACTTAACGTGCCAGTACATTCAGAGCTTCGGGTATTGGGAAGAAATGCACATTGGGAACATTAGACCAGAAGACTGTGAAAAAGAGGATCTGAAGAAAATCAACATCCTCATTATATTAACATTTGTACTAGTTTTATCTGTGATCATCATTGGTGTGGGTTCATTTTTTTGCTTTCGAAGGCAAAACTTTAACCATCAATTTAAAGCATAGGAACACAAAATGCCTTGAAAACTGAAGAAATCAGGTGCTACCCTGGCACTGTGTAGGAATGAAGGATAAAAATCTCATCTTTGAGTTTTAACTGTGGATTTTGAGGTGGTTTTGAGGTGTCCCTGAACTGCACCACTGCAGTGGTCTGGGTTGGAGGGACTGGAAGGAGAATTTGCTCCGTTTTGCACTTGCTTCATTCACATGCAGATCTGCTTAAAAGATTACACAGTGTTAGAAGAGGCTACTGTAAAGTTCTGCTGTTGTTTTGAGAGATGTGTAATTTAAACCAGCTCAAAAGAAAAAGGCCTCTAAGGTCTTGAGATCTGAGACTTTTCACTAAGATCAGATGATGGCATCAGCCAATTAGGAAATCCTTTCTCAAAATTATGTGCCTCCACAAGATGTTTTGATTTGGTCTGAGCTTTGCTTTTACCTAGCTGGTTAGCTCCTAACCCTTCTTAAACTGAAATTATACAAAGATATGCCAGAGTGGGTCAAAACACAATCTTCACTCAGTGAAGTTGGTTGCAAATTCCCCTTGAGTTCCAAAACAATGAGAATTTAGCTAAAATTAAAAAAAAAATAAAACAAAACCAAATTATAGGTAGTGTCCATTGTGCTCCTGTCCACTATTTAGACAGCTGACCATGGAAACCAAAGACCATGTGGTAGGAACCTCTTTGGATATCTCCTTTCATTTATTGGGATGTTGCTCTAGTCACTGGGGCAAGACATGAGAGGTAGATGAGATCAATTAGTTCTGGCACTTAGTACCCACAAGGGATGCGAAAGAAATCTCAAGCATGAGACAGCTGCTGATGTGTTACCAGATCTGCTCAGGTCACAGGCCCACAGTTTAACTAAAAGAGGAGAAATTGGCCTCTCACGTGCAATACGTATTTAACCGGGTATAATGTGAAGAAATTAATCTCTGGGGTGAACACTTTGCAAAAGAAGAATCTTGGAGAATGAATTTCAACCAGCTAGAATTGGACTGAAATGCTTACGTTTCTAAGCAAAACTGAGGGAAGTTCATGGCATACAGTTGAATTTCAATACAGAAGAATAATATATCTCTTTTTAAAGGTCATGGAAAGCTAGACTGCAAAAAGATACCATTGTGAAATGATACGCAGGAAACCCAGTTGTGTGCCATTGTTCAGATCAGATGTTCACTGTGTCACCCTACAAAGACATTACAGTCTAGAGGATGTGCTGTAAGAAAAGTTATGCAGATCCTCATTCTGTGATGGGTTTAACACAGCTAACATGCTATGTTGCTAAAAGTTGACACTGACATGTATTTTGTGTTGTACCCTGACACAAAATTCACCCTTTTGAAGTGAATGAAAGCTCACCAGCAGTGGGAGCCTGACCTGCTAATGGAGTGCAATGGCTTCAAAAGGAACTATATCAAGTCTTCGGTTAATGCCATGAACTGTACATTAAGGCATATAACAGAAACAGAGGTCAAACCAAAACCTGTCCAGGTAAATAACTCAAATTGCTGCTTCATTTCTGTTTCTTCAAGCTAGTGAATGAAAAAATTAACACACTACAAAAAGGTGTATAATTCTATTTCTAAAGCAGCTACGTAAGAAACTGGCTGGTGGATTTCACTGTGGAATTTTGTATAATAAAAACAAATTTGAATTTTGTAAAATGCACAGGGGTGTGAATATATTAAATCACCAGTTTGAAATGCTCCACAGATGAAAAGAAAAGCCTTCCTGTTTTTCCTATGGTGTTCAGACTCCACCTTAGACCTCTACCTCCTGATGCTGAAGAAGGGACAGCTATTCCATATCTTAGAGTGCTATGGAGACCAAGAGGATCTACTGAAGATGCAGGCAAAAATTTGGAATAGGTTTTTCAGAGCACTTGTGGGTGACCCATCCTGGAAGTGTCCAAGGCCACGTTAGGTGGTGTCTTGAGCAACCTGGTCTAGCAGAAGGTGTCCCTGCCCATGGCAATGGGGGTGGAACTAGACTGTCTTGCAAGTCCTTTCCAACCAAAACCATTCTATGATTCCCTAATTCTACAAATTTGCACAAACCCTCAGCAGCAATGGGGCCTGATCTAACATCTACAAAAGCTCGTGCTTGAGCCCACCATCAGCTCAAGCCTTTATTCAAGTAGGGATATAAAGTCCAGTCTTTAGTCTCCAGCCTAGCAGATTGCACAAGCAGCAATCCCAGGAGCTATCTGGAAGTCCTATGTTGAAGGTGCTGAGCTTTTCCCTTGGTGTGAAGGCAAGCTGAACTGTGTGCCCAGACACAGGTTAATCTGCCACACACTGAGTTTATGGCTTTTTTGTCAAGTGTGACAATCTCCTTCTCAGAGCCAGTATTAACTTGACCAGCATGGCTGGAATTAGTTAATAACCTGATGACAGAGTCAAACCAGTTTAATTACTAGTTTTCACACTGCTTTTGTTTAGCTTTCCCAAAAGGAAGTGGTTGTTACTACTAAACATCTGGGACTAATTAGATTTGCATTGACTTCCCCAGGAGCAAAAACAGTTTTCTCAAGAATAAGCCTCAGGAGTAAAATGCAGCACGGCTTGTTTGGATTTTTCTGTTAGCAGTATGATCAACCAAGAAGTGACACAACCCTGCTCCAGCCAATTCTATTATTTTGGATGGGGTGAGGAACAAGAGGGGGGAAAAAATAAACATGAATAAAATAGCAGAGAGGAAAAACAGGGAGAAATGTGAGCCCTGCATGATATTATGCATCAAAATAGGGGGACTGTAGCTGACAGCCCCAGCTCTTGCATCTCCTGTCTGTTACTGTGTCTTCAAGAAGCCCAAATGCCAAGCCATACTCCTGCATCAAACGTTTACATTACTCAGACATTACACATCTCGCCACCAGTCAGCTCCATTTTCCTAATTAATGGCATGGTTTAATGAAGAAGAAAATTAACCCTTTCCCTTCTGACACCAGGATAGTAGGCATGATACAGCCTGTTTTGACTGGAATTTTGCAGGCAAGAATTTACACCCTCATTTGCTGCTTTTTCATAAAGTCCTTGCAACAGACTTGTAACCTGGTCTTGAACACTTACAGGAATGGGGAAACCTGCTCCAGTGTTTCACCACCCTCTGAGTAAAGAATTTCTACATGACATCTAAACTAAATGTGCCTGGCATCAGGTAAATATAAGTACTGGAAACATTAGGAATGCTAGAAAAAATAGAAACAGAGAGAGTCCCTAAATGCTCAGCAAGTCATGGCTCATGTTAGCCGTCCGTGGAAAATAAGTCTCAGTTTCCAGAAGTACTGGCTTTTTTTCTCCAGAGTACCCTTTTTTTCCCTGCAGAATATTCTGTACCCTGACAGAGTACCAGGGCCTCTGGCTACAGACTGCCCTGCAGGGACTGTACCCAGCCCTAAAGCAGCCACAGTAGGTCAGTACACAACACAGTAAGTGCCTCCTAATATTTTGGGAGCCCAAAGCATTTGCTCTCCAATTCTATCTAATCCCCATGTAATTCAGAACCCTGGGGAGGAGAAAACGGTGACAACAACTTAGATCCCCCGTATCTCTACAACAAAGAAAACCAGGCAAGGTACCCTCTAGCCATGTTATTTTCCATAAACAATTACTTATTCTGTTTGTGCACACATGTGCAAAGGCACAGACACACAAGGCTAGTTTCAGAAATAGATAATTTCAGGATTAGCTTTGTTTAACCTAAATTAGAACAGCCTGTGCTAAACGATCATCTGTAATAACAAACAGCCTGTGGTGCTGCTGCTTGTGGATTCCTATTTCATGCCTGTCCATGTGAAACATTTTGATCAAGATTTTCAAAAGTGATCTCTGATTCATTTCAGATGCCTAAATTTGCAGCCTGTGTCTTGCCAACCCTGAAACAAGTCACATTTTCCAGAAAACTGGGTCCATTTCCTCCAAAAACCAAGGCTCTGTGGTATATCTTATACAAACCCCAGGAAAAAAATGAGGCTGTGCAGAAGTATATATAATTATTTCACTCACAGCTTTCTAATTAGAGTTTCTGCTCTGCCAGAGTTGTTTGGAGCATCTGAAGAGCTGAAAAACAACAGTGTTAACACCTCCTCTGCCCTGTAGTCTGCCCTCAGAAGGACCATATCAACTCAAGTTAGCTATCCCCCCACTCTCACTCCCATCCTCAGTTATTGTGGGTAAATTTGAGTGAAAATAGGAAAAATAGACATAAGAAAAGAGCAAAAATTAAGTGCAGTATCCTCAGCTTCCTGTCAATGCTGCAGCTATGCAGCCAGAACAGATTTTGGTCTCACGGGTGCTGGATTGGTGAGGGTCCAAATAGATTTTGCCAAGAAAAAAGAGGAATGAGGATTGAGAGTTTAGAGCCGTCAAAGTGCTCCGAGTGAGTGATAGGAAAAGGAGAAAACAAACTGTGGGTGTAATTGCCTCTGAAAAGTGAAGAGGAACAGGCAGTGGTAGGCACTTACCCACCTCTCCCCAAGAGTTTAGAGAAGATCAGGAAAGCTTCACCCAGTCTCTTGTAGAGGAAAGGTGAGAAGAGAGCCTAGGAGACAAATAATGGAACAGAAATGAAGGATGATAGAAGAAGTGAAAGCTGGAAAGGAAATGGAGTAGAGAAGAGAGTTTTAGTACAATTCATGTCTTCGTGAAGGGGAACGGAAAAGTGTAATTGGAAACTGAAGAGCATCAAATAGGGAGGGATAGGAGCAGCTTTGCAAAGAGGTAGTCAGAGATGAGCTGTGCAGAGCAGGAGGAGACAAAATACCTTGGTTAGACAACATGCTGGCTACTCACAAGTGTGTGATGCATGAAAACAGAGGAGGACATCAGTTCATACAGGATGGCAAACAGAAGTGTAAAGTAAACAGGGAAATGGGATGAAGCTGAAACAGGAGGAAAAAGAGACAATAATTTTCTGAGGAGAGTCTGTCAGACTGTGCAACACTCACAAGGAAAGACATCTGGAGGCTGATGCAACATGATACTAATGAAAATTTTGGCAAAAATGAGGGAACACTCTTGAAACATTGGGAGAGTCACTTTTCTCCCAAGCTATTGTTCATGGCAGTTCTGCTGCATTGCAGGGCCAAGCTTGTTCCACAGATTTCCTCCTCCTGTCCATGTCTAACAGTCATTGCATCAAAGACACATTTGGGGCACATGGGACACTTTATTGCAGCCTTTCAGTATTCAGAAACAACAAAAAAAAAGAGCATCTTTTTAAATGGGCTTTTTAAACAGGACATAGAAGAGCAGTTTTAAACTAAAAAATGGGGAGATTTGGATTAGACATGAGGAAGAAATTCTTTACTGTGAGAGGGGTGAGGTACTGGCACAAGTTGCCAAGAAGCTGTAGATGCTCCATCCATGAAAGCCAGATTGGACAGGACTTTGAGCAATCTGATCCTAGTGGGTGGCAACCCTGCCTGTGTCAGTGGGATTGGAATTAGATGATCTCTAAAATCTATTCCAGCCCAAACCGTTCAGTAA